TAGCACTCCAAATAAATGCAGGCCCTGCTCCTGACAGAGCTGGAACGGGAGTTAAGGATCAATAAACCTCAGTCAGGGATTTCATGGAAGATAATAGGCACAGAAGAGCACAGCTTTGGCTGCTAAGGTCTTGCTACAAAGCTATACAGTAGAACAAGTGTGAGAGATTCTAGTTACAGCAGAAGAGATAGATTTCTTTGTGGGACCTTGTGAAGTGTGGTCATGAACAAAGCTTATCAGCTCGACCATGCTGTTAGAATGAGCATCCATAACAAAATAACCAAGATCTTACTTCAAAACCACTTCTTTGCAGCAAATATAGCAAAAAGTTTCTACTTTTGAGTGAGAAACAAATGGATGAGAAGTAAAATATTTGTGTTGAAAGCTTTGGGTATAATATTGCAAGAGAAATAAAAATATTTGAATTTCAGATTGCAAATATCTTGATTCTGGGGACAGAAAGAGAGACAAATTAATTTTCAAAGAACACCACAACTGATTACTGAAGTCTCCATTGCAAAGAGTCATAAAACTTCAAAATGCACTTGGCCACAAGTGCCCAGCATTGCTCATTTCTATTTGTCATATGTAGTCTGGATTTCACTGTGGTTCTCAAGTTTCTGCCAAGGTTTACACAAAACCTGAACCTCAAATGTAATGAAAGAAGGCTGAAAGAAGAGATCTGGCAACAACCTTTCAGGTTTTATTCAAGTAGGGCTTTCATTATAGAGGAAAGTGGACCTGGACATCTGTCAGCACTTTAATATAGTGTCTTCAAGTGTGACCACATTGTTTAACTCCTTCAAATCAAATTGAAATATTTATTTTCTAATATCACTCTATTATTAAACAGATTTTCTTTTCTTTCTTTTTTTTTTTCTTTTTGTTTTCTGGACATAGATATAGAGGAACAGATTAATTAGAAACAATATCTAATCCAAAACAATTCAAGACCAATTTCCTCTTGAAATGTTGACTTCTTCTAAACAGAGAAATTGACATCTTACTTTAACATCTCTTCCCTTAAATGCCTTTCCCCGTTCTATCCCTGTAGGGCTTTCCCAGGTCCAACCATTTATAAATTTGCCCTTTTTAAGCACTTTGAAGTTAGCCTCTTGCAATGTTTGGAAGCAATGCATCTGGACATTTCTGCTTGAGCTGGAGACATTGGTTTAATGTTGCACAGGTTGATGTGCCTTGCACAAGACAAGCTCCAAAATTATACAGAAGCCCGAGGACTCTATGGACATTAGGAGAAAGCCTTCAAAAGCCTTCACTCACTGAATGCAGGAAGAAATGTGTGCATTGAAGACTGGCAGGGGAGAAAATAGAGCCTGTAACCAACACTATTCTTTTTCCCATATTCAAACACAAAAATTTACCTAGAAACCAAGCAATTATAACTAAATTTCACTACCTTTGCTTCTTAGAAAAGAGCTGGGGTGAGCAGCAGAACTCTTCCTCCTGGTAGATGTTTCATACCATAACTTTCCACTGGTGGCATCTTAATCTGCCTCACCTGTACCTGCTCTTGGTATCTTGCTTGAAACCTGAGTGTTTCCCTAATGTATCCCATCTAGGCTCTTCTCCTGAATTATATACCTTCCTGAAGACATTTCCATGCATCTTTGGTGCTCACCCTCAAAAGTATCCTATTCTTCAGCTCTCCTTATGCCTTCATGACTGGCACACCTTCAGTCCTGCATCAGTCCTGCTCCTACAGTTGAATTGGTCAGATATCCTATACCTTAATAATTTAATTTTAATTGTTTCTTTTATACAAAGTTATTACCCTGCTCTTCTCTGATCCATTCTTCTTGAGGGCAAAGAACAAAATTTGAAGGTCAACCCCCAGTGAAATTAATTTTCAACATCCATGACACTTCTGTAATTGATTGCAGCTTTAATGAGAGCTCTTTTCCAGTGAATTGGTTAGGAGATCCTCAGGTTTCCTGATAATACACTTTATTAACAGGACCAGCCACATGAGGAATGGAGTCCTTTTACTCATCTATTGATGCTAAAGATATTAAAATTGGTTTCCTTCCCCGTTAGCCCTTGCTCCCATACATAGGTTTTGGATAAGCCTTGCAAGCCTGGACAATAATGAACATCCCTGAGTGATGCAATCATCCCCCTCTCTGCTGCTGCTGCTGGAAAAGTGGCTTTGATCCTCTGGGCATGGCCCATTCCACAGTCTGGATGAAGCAGGAACAGCAGTGCCATGAAGCACTTCCTTTCCTTCACAGAACGGAGCAGCTTCACACCCCACAGGTGTCCTGGGGCCTGGCCCCTGCTTTCCCCCCACCACAGCGGCTGTGATAACACAAGATGGCGAGAAGGGCCTATTAGCACCACCTGGCAGGCTCAAATGACACTGTTTCCATGGTTATTTGTCACCATAGCTTTTTGTATGAAATATGTTATGTTTTTTTCTCATTGACACCTCAGGGGGACACTCCAGCCAGTAATGTTCCCTCCAGCATTCAATTATCCAAGTCAGTTACGCAAGGCCTCACCTGCATTTTCTTTGTAAAACAAACCTCATGCTGGTTTAGATTGACAAATCCAAGGGGTAACACAACTTCTCAGCTGTGATTCAGCATGTTATTATGAACCAATATGCAAAGCTGGAGGTACATTCACGACATTGCACTGTTGGTGTCATCAGGCTCTGAACTAGGCCTTCAGATGAGACAAACTTTCCATGATGCTCAAGACCAGACCCACCATTTATTTTGTCCACCCTCCTGTGCTAAATTTTCCAAACTATCAGCATTTTGTCCATTATGAGTGCTCCAATATAAGTAACCAGTGTATGAAGAGCTTGTTCAGCTGTTGTAGAAGCAGTCTAGGACATTTGTGATTTCAGAGGAGTCAGTCAGGAGTGTGGTACTTTGTATTTAGTGGGAAGATACAAGGGTCCTAAGGGTTTCCTCACCCAAAAGTCCAGAAAATAATGACTAGTCACATCCTCCAACTAGAGCACATCAACAAAGGGCAGCTGCTGAGGAAGATCAGGAGAGCACACTGGCAGAGAATCTACAGCTGATTCCTCTCAGAGATGAAATCAAAGCAATTGAGTACAAACTTTCCTTTCTATGTTGTCATTTCTAGCCATGGCCATGGTTTTTTTCACATGGTTCACTCTGAGCAGATTGTCAGGTCAGTGCTTCCCCAGAGCAATACAGGCTGACCTCCAAGGGCCATGCTGGGGGATGTGCAAAGCTGTGCGATTGCTGACACTTCAGCACATTTTATTGTTTGAAGAGCCCTATTTGGTGCATGTGCTTCAAATATACAACATGTAAACATTTGTTTGTACCTGACTCCTGTCTTCTGTAGTGGCTTTGTTCCTTAATTAACTCTACAGACTGACACTGACTGGTCTTTACAAGAGTAACATCAGGGAGAAAAGTCACCCCTAGAGCCAATAGCGCAGTGGAAAATTCAAAATATTCATTCCAAGCAAAAAGAAGATTACCACCCAACCTGGGAATAAAATCTCTGAAGCTCCTGCCCTCTAATGGATGTTATGCATCTGTATATGGCTTATTGGAACTATTTAATAAAGTATTATAGAATGCCAGATATTTTCAGATGTATGCATTTCATTATTCTTCATTCAGTCTGACAAACAGCTTTCATTTCCACTGCACAAAATCTATAAATATAGGAGTTGTTATAACCAGAAAAATATACTATTTTCTACATACTTGCCTCTTTCCAGAAAAAAAAGTAGTTCTGGTGTCCAGCACTATCCCCAGCCTGATCTATACTGTAATTATCAAACCTGCAAACTGACAGTGGCACTATGTTGAACTGCTCAGTACTTTTTTTTAATGTACCAATATGTCACACTTGAAACATTTTTTTGAGCAGTTCAAGAGAGTACTTTTAATGGAGATGTTAATCACAGGCAGCATTTTACACTGATTGATGAAATAGCAAGACAATTTTGTGTTCTTCACTTAATTATCTGAAAGTCTCCAAAAGCAATTCTTGCATCATGAAACACACTTGGAATCACTACCTTATCTGTACAAATCACCAGGAAAAATGTTACTGCATCCACTCTATGAGGAAGAAAAAAAACAGACTCAAGTGTTCTCTCAGCTCTAAATAATGAAGTGGAACCAACAGAATTGAGAGACTGGCAGGGAGGATGTTTCTCAGCACTGTTAGTGCAGCCAATAGGCTGCAGATTTCCCAGCTATCCTGGTCCTTCAGCTGCTTTCAGCAGCTTCACACTCACATTCCATTAAAGGGGGGCAGTTAATTCTGTGAACTGTGTTGCTCTGAACATGACAGAAAACATAAAACCAACAGAAACACAACCGGATTCTAAGTGAAGCATTTCCCTTCATGAATATAACAACTTTTACCAGTGACAGAAATTCTGCACGAGTAATGGCAGATTGTCACTCTGCTGCAACCTCCTGCAAAACTATGCAGCAAAGCCAAAGCTGATGTTAGTCATATCTTTGCAGGAATCACTAGAGCTGAACGGGAGTATAAAACAAGGTGGAATTTGATTAGATACAGATTTTCGTTTTACACAGACAAATCCTGCTTAAATTTATATCAGCACAACCCAGCAAATGTAACCACAGAAGCATGTGGCTCTGGTGGCACACACAGTGAGATTTATTCAGAAAGCTGCCCATAACTGAACAGGCTTGTCACGAGAGGCACAAACTCTACATACTCAAGACCTACAGTATGTGTAACATTACACCCCGAATTGTTTTCTGAGCAGAGACATATTCTCCATGGGATAATCCAGTCCTGCAATTTAATTCTCTTAAAAACATATGCAAGGCACATTTAGGAGGATTTCAACTCCCTGTGCAGTAATAAGGATCGTATCCCTTTTTCAACCAGAGTATAGCATGCACACACGCTACTAAAACTTTACCATTAAATTACTTGCACCACATCTAATGACTCCATCTAAAAAGCCATTCCTAGAGGCTCCAAAAAATCTCTGTAGTACTCACAGGCCAGGAAGCACCCCAGATGAAGGGTTATTCTGCTGCAGCAGTGTTAGAGCTGTTGACTACTTTGCACCACGCATTCTCCTGGGATGAATTCTGTCTAGGAAAAGCAAGCTCTTATCACCAATCCAGTTGGCTTTACTTCATTACTTGGAAAAACAGGTTCTCTGGTAGCAAACAGTCCTTATCTGTGCAGACTGTTAAGGGTAAAGAGCCATTCCCTTCTTGCAACATAGCTGGATATATCTGTTTAGAAGTATAAACCAACTTCAGGGACCCAGTAAGAGCTTGTAGGAGGACCCAGAGTCTCTCAGAGTTTGCTGGAGTGACAGCAGATTTCCCTCTCTCCCAGGGGCTGGCTGTTCTGCCTCCACTTCTAATGCAGCACACTGGATAGACAAGAACTAGAGCAGACCCCAGCTTCAGACCCCTCAGAGCAGCCAAGAATACTACAACTTCTTTTAAACTGAAGAACTCCTCTAACCCTTTTATCCCAATAATACAAAGAGTCACAGATTTAAGAATTTAATTTAAGAATGTAAGAATTGTCTTCTGAAGCTCCTGCTTAAATAAAAAGGGATAAGAACAAAGAAGCCAACATATGGTGTCTAAATACTGAATTCCTGGATTGTATCCCATCAAGTATAGCCCTGGGTAGAGTTATATACATTGTTTTCACCAAATCAACATGGCACGATTTAAAGTAGGCATTACAATTTCACCATTTATCATTCCAAAGGCAGAGTGGCAAATAGAACTGTTGTAACAGCAAATCTGGGGCAGCAAGAACCTTAGCCTGATTGGAAAGACTATAATTCTTTTTAGCTCTGACTGAAAAACCTATATTCAGGATATCTGCCTTAAAGACCAATTCTTTATCAATCTAAAACCAATGGTAGAAAGATAGAGGGTACAAAATGTAGGGGACAGTCACAACGAGTTGCAGTTCTCTCACAGCTTATCCAGGGCTCTTTTAGGCAGCAAGGAGACTGCCAGAATGAGTGTCTGGAATGATTCTGCCCTCAAATTCCCCAAGCCCTCTTCCCCAGTAGGTCTAGGTGAATAGAAAAGCAGTAACACATTTAGAGTCAGGGTTGTGCATTTCACAAGATGCTTCCTGCTCCCATGAAACTTTAGCTGATACCTTGTGGAGAGAGAACACAGGACCCTGGCAAGGGACTGACTCACAGAGCCATCTCCTTACAACATCTGCCCTTTGTTAGACTTTCAGCCAATGCAATTATGACCCCCAGTGCAAGCCTCAGGAGGAAAGCCACAAACCAGAGGGGGAATGAACTATCAGCATTTTAGAGTCAAGGTCACATGTAAGAAATGCCCACAAAAAATAAAAGCAGTAATAAAAAACAATGTTTGGGTCAATGTGCCCTTGTTGCAAATAATCTGTGCTCCAGCATGTCCTGTAATATTGTTGGGATTCCCAGATGTGACTGCAACCAGAAACAGCCATGAACCATCCTCCCTGCAGTCATGATATATCTCCTGATGTTCCAGAGATATCGGGTAGAACCAAAGACAGGAAAATGGAATTAATACCAAAATACACCCCCAGGATCATTTGTTTTTCTACAAGTACGTTAAGAACATGAAATAGGAAACTCTTCAACAAAATTAATCTTTGTCTTTCTATGCCAAATGCAAAAAAAAAAACCCACAAAATGAGCTTTTGCTGAAACAAGAGACATCCTGTCACTCATCCATAACTTCATCTGATTTAAACTATAAGCATAAAAGTAGCATGGCTACTTAGTCCCAGGAATAATGTTTCAGTCTTGGGATGTTTTCTTCTGTGGACTAACATACCTTCTTACATCTCAAAAAGTAAATATACCATTAGTGTGATATCGGAAAATGTACTTAGAAAATAATTCTCAGAAAGTCTCAGTAACAATACAGGAGCTGAAATGTCAACGATTTAAAACAGCTCAGAAAAGAACCTTTGGCATTTGGTCAATAGAAACCACAACAGAGAAATGGCACTGGAGAAGCATTGTTAATTACTAAAAATAACAGAGTCCAACATTGACAAAGACTGTCTACTCCTCTAAGAGAAATGGTTGAAGATAACCAACTTCTAGGCAAAAAAAGCATCCATCGTAACTGAAACAGAACTAGCAACTCCCTGCTTTACTCCATCATTGCTCCTTTTCAGTAAGGCATTGCCTTGACAGAAGGCAGTCATTTCTGGCATCAGCTATGAATGAGCTAACTCGTTATCAGCAACATTACAACTTCCTGTGCTAAGGAACAAATTGTCTCAAAAAAAGAATTCCTGTGCCTCTTCTCCCTCCTTAAAACTGCCACCTGGGCTTAGCCAGCACAACAAAAGCTGATGCTGGCACCTTCATTTGGAAGAGAAACAGCACAGGTGGCAGTAGGGGTGAGAAGAACAGCAGATGTGGAAACAGACTCCAGACCAAGAAGGGGAATGAAGAACCCTTCCCACCTCCTGAGTCCATTGTTAGCAGAGCCAGGGGGGCCTGATGATGATTGAATCCCACAGCAAACAAAGGCTTGGGCTTCTTAGATTTTTTTTAATTGGAAAAGACCTTTGAAATCAGCAAGTCCAACCATCAAACACAAGTCCTACTTCAACACAAGTTGGAAATCAAATCAATAGTGAGTCTCACATTATTTCTCAGTTTAAGCAGCATCATTATTACCTGGAGCCACTATGTTAATTGTGTGTAAACCAAAGCATCCAAGGAGAACCTCAGCCTGGTTTTGGAAGCAGGGAATGGGGATAGGAAAAAACAGGAGATAGACACTGCTTGGTGCTGAAGTACATCTCTTAGCATGACTTGATCTGCACTGCCCAGGTTTTACTGTAAGCAGCAGAAACATCCAGCCATTCAGTGCCCTCTGAATATTACTTTAAACATTTTAGTGTGTAAAAAACTTTCAACACTAAACACCTTCTTTGCTGGAGCTGCAATGGGCTTCCCACCCAGCACAGGTATATCACCCTTGAAAGCAGTGAACACACCTCAACCATATTCTAAACCAGTTTTGTCTTTTTCTTGGTAGGTCTCCCATGAAGTTCACACAAGGAAGATTCCCTGAGCTGGAATCAAATGAAAGGTACAGCTAATAAGCTGCCTTTTACAGTCCTCACTATTGGTTCAGAGTGTAAGCTGCCTTTGTAAGATGTCCATCTTTACATCTGGAGGAGAGCACCAAATCAGGAGGAAGAGTTCTCCAAGGGTATGGTGCTGCAGGAGCCCTGCACTAAAGTGCACTATCTAAAGTCAACTCTGGCTGGTAGAAAACATCCTATCTCACACGGTTCCTAGCTCATTGATTTCACCAAGGCACTCTCACAGCCAGAGGGCCAGAGGAACAGATGGCTCAAGTGCAATGCTGCAGACCTGTGGCTGAGCAACACACAGTAGCTTTCAGACCTGGTGTGATCACTTCACATGGAAAAAATCACCCCTTGCTCCAGCCTGTTTGTTTCAGCTGACTTTCACAGTGAGATGAAGCTGATCTCAGAGCAAATCAGCCATTTTTGTCTAAATCTTTTGAAAACCCAAATCCATATTTTCCACATAAAACAGATCTCTCTCAGATTCAGCACTAGCACATACAAAGAACTCACAGAAGTCAGCCCAAAAACAGAGGGAAGGGAGCAGAAATTACATTTACAAAGCAGAAAGCAGACATTTCTGCAATGGTTCTGCTCAGCCACCGGAGCGCCTCAGGGAGGATTACACAAGAAATAAACTCTCTGCTCAAAGTATGTAAACTGATAAAACAGCCTTGCTTTGATGCTTGCTCTGCAAGAAGCATTTCAGCTGAATCAGTAACAATGCTTGTTCTTCACTGCAGTGACACTGCAGCAGTTGCAGAAATATATTCACATTTTAACTATGGTGTTTATTCCAGGAAGTGCAAAGTTTGTGGTGCTTGATCTCTGAGGGAACATTGCTGCAACCACTCAGGCTTTGTCATGGGACTGATGATAAAAGATTCAGCCTTCTGTAAAAAATGGTATGCTGGATTTATGTGCATATTGCATTTCTCCTGTAAGAATGCCTGACTTTTTATGGAAACCACAGAGAGATCCAGGTGGAGAAGTGCTCAGGATATGACAACCACCTATTGCAGATTAGATCAGAAAGGGAAACAGCATGGCAAAATGAAACCAGTAGGGAATATAGATCTGTGGATGAACATCAAAACAGGGAGGATAGGCAGGCAGAGGATATGCTGCATTTTTGAGTGCTCTGGTTTTTGAACAAACCTGGGTTCTGTTATGTTCATCTCCCATCTAGCACTTTTTAGATGAAATGCAAGTCCTTAGCTGTGTCCCAGGTTTAGTATGTCAGCAGTTATCCCAGAGGCAGGGCAAACAAAAGTCTGTTTTTACAATAGAAGGTTTCATTTAAATAAAACAAAAACAACAGTTTTATTTTAAGACAAGAGAGATCTCAAAACCTCTATCACACTCAGTATTTGCAGTATTTGGATTTATTCAATCTGAAAAAGGGCTGTTGCCAATTACCACAGTGTATATCCAGACAGAAAATACCTAACCTGCTTTTCCTGCAGGCCTTCTGTGTTTTCCTTTTTCTGCCTCACTACTCCTGTCCTCACGCTCCTTTTGCTGGAGGCTGCAAGACCCCTTTTGTCATTTGGCACTTCCACTCTGAGGTGACAGCACCCTATGAAGAACCAGCCCCCACAGCTTCATTGGGGCAGCCAGCAGATCCCACTGCCACACCCTCAGTGATCCCAGTCCCGAGGACTCCTTGTTCCCCCTGAAACACTGCCACAGTTCCCATGGCACCATAAAAAAGACACATATTTTTTAAATCCCTAAGAGGTGCAGATATTTGGGTGGTTCTTAAAACCTTAGCCATCCTCCTCAGATATTCTGAGCCTACCACATTATCCACTTTCCTCTCCATATCTGAAATACTTTTGCAAAAGCTCCTCTGACAATGGATCTGATGTGACCCATCAAGCAGCAGCAAGAGACGTCAGCTGAAGGAAAACCTGCACAGGAAAACCTCAGAAGGACTGAGCACAGTAGCAAAGCTCTCAGTGTAAGCTCCTATTTCCTTGTGTGTAAACAAACCCATCACAGGGCTCACAGCATTCACATTTTGACTTTTGTAAAGGTGTTTCACACTACCATATGCTTAAAAAGTCATTAGAAAGAAGATAGAGGCATGGCCCTGTGACATTGTGCAATGCTCTATTTGGGGAGCAGTGCCTGAAAGAAGTTTTAGTTACACCATATTTCAGTAGTTTTCATTTAAAGTTCTCCATAACTTTCATCTGGGAAAAAAAATTGAAGAAAAATTTTAGAAGTTCTGATTGCTGTGCTAAGATGCAGAGTCAAATTTCAGGTATTTTTTCCTTCTCCTTGCTCCATTATCATCAGTGTTCCCAGCAGATTGTTGCTATTTCAATCTCTCACTCTCTCTCCCTTTAGTTTTGATCTTTACATTTTGTAAGACAATAGCTATAAACTCCACATTCACCAACCATTCCTTTACTAGTGATGACACAGACATCAAGAACACATGTTCTCTTCCTTCATGCTGGTAGGAAAGAACTGCTGTCAGTGATGACTCCAGGGTGACCTTTCTAATCCCAGACAAATTGTTTAGGATGGTTTTTTTGTGGTAAGCTCCCTGTTCCATTTGGGCCTCTCTGCCTTAGATCTCCCTTTGCTCCAGCACATGGAAATAAGTCACAGAATCTTGTGAGCTGTCAAGAGGCACTGCTCAGCAGT